AACCGTTCTTCGCTTGGGAATGTTTACGCGTTCAGGATTTTATATCCAAGAGACATACGACGCACACGTGCAACCGACGGCCCCTTTGTCGTGCCAGCAATTCGACGTTTAAACAAACTCCGCGAAAGTAGAGACGTACCCCGTGTTAATGACGCCGCGAACCGTACAAAGCCGTGACAAATTGCGACGATCACCGCAGCGGCGTGTTGTGATGGACGTGTCGGCCTGTCTCCGCCGTATTCTAACGGGGAGTTTCGAAATCAGCGACCCCGTAAAAACGCTCTGATGTAGAATCACGCTGGTGTGATTAAGCTCGGGGGAAGTTCTATAGTCGTCGGCTCTTTATTATCCTATTGTAGAATGAAAATATACATTGTACGTCTGAAGAGATACATGGCAGTACGAGATGTTCTATTCGGGATCAAAGGTGATGCATACAGGGTGTCCAAAGGGTTCCCGTTCGCACTTTGTCTGCGTAGCGTGTGACTAAGAATGGGACGAAAATATACCGTGTAAACACGAGTTTTTGCGTGTTTTGTGCAAAAGTTGTGATACGAAAGGAGAATGAAATAATCGTAATTTCCCTTTTAACGAGACGTTTTTACTAGAAATACGTATATAGTGGGTGTTCTATGAGTACAAATAATATTTTTATACAAAACTCTTTTTTAATTTCACTGACAAATTTTGGACGGAAAAGTTGAAACACCTTCTACATATTTACGTTCCACTCCACAGCAAATTCACTATCACAATCTCCGCTCTATATTTCAAATTGCAACTTATTACCGAAGTATTTAAACACTTCCACTTCCACGAAATTCTCGTCTCCGTGTTCATAGAATACACTAACAAAGCCCGTAGAGAAACACGCGTGACACTCCGCACAGCGTACAAAGTTTGTTGCACAATTCCTTGACATTGGTCAAAGAGAACGAAAAGGCTACCGGAGACGTTCCAAGCTCGAGAGAACCCTTTTGTCGTGGAATGCCTCGAATTCGCCCGAAATTCTCTACGTTGATGGAGGATCACGCGTGTCGCGGAGGGGCCTGTCTCGCGTTCAACACCACTGACTCACTTCAATTAAAAAATTACTCCGGATTCCGTGGATTCTTAAGGCGCTGTCCCCCGTGAAATTCCCCGCGGCCAGGGCCCCCGAAATCGGCTAGGTATGCCGGCCGCGCTATAACGCTTTAATTGTCGCTCGGTTATGTTAATACGTCGACAATTTCATCAGCGACGCGCGCGTACCTAATGGATCTGCGGATAATTGGAAGGGAGGAGGGGTCATGGAGATTCAAGGGAGGCAACGGACCGATGACAATGCCATAACGCAAGAGGGCTTTCGCGTAACGATTCTCCCACCCTGGACACGCTCCCGTGTGCTCTGCTCCTACTGTCGTCGACAATATGCGTGAGAGCGCGCGCACGCGTACATACACGCACGTCCGTTTTATCGCCGTACGTGCACAGAGAACGTATGCACATACGTCCGACTGGATGTTATTGTTATCCGTTTGACGAATCAATTCGATCTCCGCCCCACCGTGGAATAAAGAATTACACGCCGCGGAAAATAATGAATTTTTCACGAAAAAGAGGGTTCGTTTTTAAAATAAGCCGCTTTCATCTCGACTCGTTCCCACGAATGAACCGCGTGATTCATGTAACAGCCTGCAACCTCTTCCCTCTGGATGCTGGAGAAAAAAACGCGATAGGGAAGAAGTTGGCGCTCTTTCCCAACAGATTTCGTAACACCTTCCTCGCGTGTACGTTCGAAATTAATTCGTATCGAGAGAAGAATTAAAAAGAAATTCGTATACATGGGGAAAAACGAGGAGAAAGGTCGTGAAACATTTCCATCTTCGCCGGGTAAGAGGAGCGGTAGCCACCAATCACGATCAGGCGAGCACCGAGCGTAACGCGGTTTGCTCCTTTTCTCGCGGCGGCGTTCACGAATCATGTCCAGCGGCGCACGCGAGGCGGACACAGGCGTGTCGCGTCGCGTGGCGAGTCGTGCAGCTTCGCGGTGGCTTGCACACGCGGTAGCCGAGAGTTGAATCGAATACGCGAAACCGAACGCGCGCGACTCTCTGTCTCCCCCCATCGTGTCATGCCCACCCTTTCCCTCGCCGACCAAGCTCTTGAACGCAGAGAGACAGAGAGAGAGAGAGAGAGAGAGAGTGAGCGCGTGCACGCGCCTGTGTGTGCAGGCCTGGACTGCGATACGCGTGCACCGGCGCAGAGACCGCAATCCAACCGACGTACAACATGTTTATGTATCGCAGGCAACATTAACATTGCAATTTATGCGCGCTTTAACTGGCCCGCAGCCCTTCCAACCTGCCCCTGTCCCCTCCGCCGCCGGCTGGCCCGCTTAACACGACCGCGAATTTACCAACGCGGTTCGACGTACAAGTTCACTCACCGCAGGAGGGCCGATATCTCCGGTCCCTCGTCGCCACGGTCTCTCCTGCCCTCGATCCACTCTCCTAGCTCGTTTTTGGCGATACTGTGTTTTTGTCGAGCGTTACTTATCGTTTCCGGTTCAGGCTGCAGAGATTGTCTGCTGTGCTTCGACTTAGGATCGTTTCTTAAATTTGGAGAAGTGATTGGGATAGCTTGTCTTTGAAATGGAACGTCAAATTAGGGGTGCACTGTCAGTCTCGTCTGTTTTCCAGGATTGAAATAGTTGTGGTCACGAATGATTTTTAAAAAAACTTTGAAATCTGTTCGTAGTCAGAAGTAGGGTCGACAAAGAGTGGATTTGGCTACATTTTTTGAGATATTTAAATGAAATTTTCCGACGTAAAGATTCCTGGAGAGTGAATCGAATCTTCTCAAATCAGCCCATGGTAACGAAAGGGTTAAACGTTGGTGGCGACAACTGTAAAAACTTGTCGATTACGCAACGCTATCTCCGTAGAAGCGCGGCCCGTTTCTCAGACTCGAAATCTCCGCGGAAAGCAAAAACCTCGAAAAAAATCGCTATCACGTTTTTACGCTACTTAACCAACACATCGTTCACTAGCCCGAGACGAGTTCGCTCGACGGCGATTCCCATCATTAGAGAACCCGGAGCGTTACGATAAATTTCAATCTCCGTCGTGGAGGCTCGCAAGAACGCCTCGCACCTTCCCTTTCCCGCCCGGGTTCGACAAAAACGCCGGCGTCCGCCCACTCCATTAAACATTCCGCCGGTCTTGGCGTGGATTTATTTCTTTCTAAAATTGTTATGTGTATCGCGCGGCTCGCCGGCCGAAACGCGTAACCAGACCGAAACGCCGACCCCATCCATCTTTGCTCACCGCTGCGTAGTTCTCGAGTACGGGGTGCGAAATACGTTTCGCAGACGCGGCTCGATTTCACGAACGAGTACCTAAAAGCCTCTCTTCTACGCTCACGGCCCCTTGGATACTTTGCAAGTTTCTCGGCCTGTTTACCTGCGTGGCAAGAGGGTGACTCTCCGTATCCGAAGTCAATGGGATGGAAAGAAAAGGCCGGGTAGAGGAGAAAACGATCGGCCGTGGTTTAAATGCGCGCGGTAGTTGGTAAGCAGGAAGAGAAGGCGGGTAAAAGGGGGCACCGCGAGGGATCCGCTGTTTTTATCGGACGTCCCGAACAGGCAGAGGCTGTTACCGCCCGCGAGAATTATGGTCTCGGATGTAAACACGTATTTCCAGGTTGCACGAGACGAGAAGTAGGAAGGAAGCATCGATTTTCTGCCACCGGGACGAGTAACATACGCCGTCGAAGACAACCGCTCGATCTGCCACGGTACCGTACAACCCAGCTCTTTGCCGGTTGCTGGAAGCTCGTTCGGAATCAATTGGCCGCTCAAAGGCGTCGAGGTGTCTCTCCCCTCGGTGATAGTTAGGTACTTCGTCACTTGACTCTTGTTATTTTTCCGGAAGGTTGCCCCGTGGTTGTCGTTCCTCTTAGAGCAATGATGCTTGAGGATAGGCCTTTTTCTTTCACGGCGTGTCATTTTATCGCGAGATTTATTCGAGGATTATGTTACCGTCAAATCAATTTTCATCCACATATTTTCACGGAAAACTTGTTGTTTGTTACCGTGATCTTATTTCTCAGTTGGAAGATATCACGATGGATGTTTCCCTATTGGTTGTTTAGTTTTAGGTTAAACTACGTTGTCCGGTTTTTCTTAATATGTACACTCCATACACGCTCTGATTCTCTCCGTACATATTCTGCTTTCGGGCTTGCGAAAGCTACCTTTATACATCTTTTTGTAGCTGCTAATGCGGAAGAAGGGCCAATCAATTCGCCTCTTTCGCGAACCCTTATTGGCAGGTAGAGAGAAGCGATGCAAGTCAACGGTGGGGGTGATCGGTCGCGTGGTTCGTGTTGAGGACACGACACTTGTATTTTAAATGTAAAGAGGACTCTTAGCGAGATGCAAATTTGCAGTTTTCGAACACAGAAAGAGTACACACCTGAGATAACTAATAATACAAAAATGTATGAATGAAGAAAATTGTGAATTATTGAATACACAGAACGGTTGAGAAAGAAGATTTCATTAGCACAGTTAAAGAAAAATGTAACAGTATATTGCAAGCGAATTGGTTACAAAAAGTAGAAGTGATCATTTCTAAAAATAACCAGCTTCGCATCTCACCACTTGCCACTTCAACTATTTTAAGCGACGAGTAACAAAAACGCGAGATGATATCTGTTGATCCAATAACAATGTGTTAATTGGCAATTGATAATCGACATTTATACTACAGGAAGTGACCTTCTACGGTTAATTGATTTCAAGCGAAGCGCAGAAAGGTTCCTGGTATCGTGATCGACAGCCCCGGCGCGGCGCTCCGTTCATTTTTTACCGAACCACCGTCTCGTCGTCAATTACGTTTAATTGAGGACCGTCGATAGCAAGACGCGAATTGCGCGACGCCTGAATCTTTAAACGACTTCGAGAGTGTCGATACTATATCCCAAGATTCCTTCCAACATACTATACATATACTCACATATGTCTATAGTTCGTCCTCCGCAGAAACAGAGGATCAATAGGTAGAAGATGAGGCACGTCTGTAGGTAGTCCATGGTGGCGTCGATGGATGGTCCGCTATCCACTGGTCATCGAACTCTCATAACCGTATCTGCAAGAACAGCAAAACAGGAGCAAATGAGAAACTGGTAGATACCTAGCGCACTGTGCAGTTACCGAGAACGAAGAAAAAGGAAGGCGAAACTACAAAACAGCAAGCAAGTAGACGGAATCGTTACGAAATCGCGCGTACGGTAGCGGCAATTCGGTGCAGCTGGAAGAAAGCAATTAAACGTAAGTTCTCAGGAATGAACGAACAAACGAACGAGTACGACAACGACTACGACGAAGACTATCAACTCTCGGGGAACGAGAAACGAGGGTTACACAGGGTGAACGTAGAAAAACAGGCTGGAAACGGCCGTTTCGGCCTCCCCGTACTTTTCGCCGGGGTGAAATGGCGCGGTTCTCCTACCGGACAGATATACGACCGGTACAGCAGCCACGGACAAAGAGCTACATTCACGCCAGCAGCCATTACGCGTCATTATCGAGATTAGGATCGGGAGTTCGGACGGTAGAAAGAGAGAAGGGAGAAGGAGAGAGAGAGAAAGATAACAGGAGCGAGAAGGAACGTACGGAGAACGCCGTTGGGGCCCTTTGGCTGGTTCTTCTCTTCAACGAGGGGGCGAACTCGTATGTACCGGATGGTGATGGGGCTGGAGTAGGGTGAGCCACACGCTTTGGGAGCTACAGGGAGAAGCGGAGAACGGAGAGGAGGACTGTACTTTATTCACCGTGGTGGTGCCGTCGTGGCGCGTACCGGAGAAAAAAGCAAGGAGGGATCCTGGATGGAGAGAGAGAGGATAGGAGGCGAGCCTTCACTTTTTGGCTAATTAACGGCAGTTTCTTCGACTACCGACTACTTTGCGATGCTTATCTCGCAAGTTTAGGGACCCCCTTTCGTGCGTAGCTCGTTATTCAACTACCCATGAAAAAATCCTTGCTCGATGACGCGTTTCTTGCCTCTTCCCTTCTTTCTCTCCCATTCTCTCTCTTTCCTCAGACTATATCGGGCTTCCATCGCGAATAATCGTGGACCAGTCTCTCTCTCTTTCTCTCGGTGAACGTTCCAGACGACACGAATTCCACGGTGATTCTTCGAATATCGTTGCCAGCGCCGTTGGAAAAGGGTGGACCTGAGAGATTTTAATGAAGCTGTCCAACGGTAGAGATCGAGAGGAACTGATCGACCAAGGGGAGATCGTCTGGAGCCCCTTGTTGTATCGGCTACGGCATTCTCCTTAAACGGTAAATGGGGAAATTCCATCAAGATTCGGTGAATGCGACTGCGACAGCTCCATAGAGCCGCATAATCGATTAAGTGGCTGAATCGGATTATCCGACCGGCAATTAAGATACCATTCAGTATGAAGCGGTTACGTCGGTGCCCGGTGTCGGGGATAGCACGATCACAATGCGGAGGATCGATTAGTCGACACAGTAATTAAGGTCACAGGGTGCATCCAGGCTCAAGTTACTTCGAGTCGGTGCAACAGACCGTGTCTAGGGACCCGACTCGCGCGCACTCGTTCCGTCGACTGTTTGAATTCACCGTGACGCGCGATTAATCATTGGTCACGGCCGCGGGATCTATTAGAACGCTTCGTGCCTAACGTACCGTTTCAATCTCTCTCTCTCTCTCTGCTCGCGTAATATCGATCTTGCCGAACTCTACTCTGATTTTCACGAGTTGAACGCGCTGGGCGACTAAACCAGTTAGCGCCATGGTCGTTACAGAGAAATTCTTCAATTTCGAATTTTTCGACTCCGGTAAATTCCAGTGAAAATATCGCGAATCTAGGAATTTCCACAGATTTCTTTCTGCTCTACGTAAATTTCGATCGTAGATTACAGACCGATCGAGGTCACTAGAAGGGTGGGTATCTATGGTTTGCTCGCGCTATTTCTGAGGATTGGCGCCGACGTAAATCTCGTCGTGATACGAACAGAATTCAGAGCAGATTTAGTGGCCCGTTTGTGCTCTAGCCTCTCGTACAGGCACGCACACAGCTATCTTTCATCCGCTGCAAACTGTACGTTCTCGTAAGTCGGCAACTTTTAACCGCGAGTCGCTACATAGGCTGCCCTTGTACGTACTCTGGACGCTCGATTTCCACGGTATTCGCTCTTTTCCTTCCCCTTAAATAACTCCATCGTTCATACGTCCGCCTCTTCCTTTTAACGTGTTCGACGTTCTTCTGCTGGCCTCGCGAGCGCTCGGTCATGATTTACAACGGCACCGAACAGAAGAGCTGGTTTTTCCACGGAAACTAACGGGGAATAATCTATTAACCAAGGCGTTGTACGTGTAAGATTCCGCCATAGACGAGAGAGCTTCTGGTGTTCCAGTAATTTGAACGCAATTAAAACGAAACGCGGAGTTCCTTCGCTACGTTTGCACGGTCGTATTGCAGAACAGCCGCGATTTTCTTGAAAAGACACGCTCGCGTAATGGAGATGGCTGAGGGGAGAAGAAGGGTAGCTTGGGGAGAAAAAAGTACCAGAACTGGCGTACACAGGCATATAAACGAGCGTGGCGATGGTGGTTCGCTCCCTTGCACCGACCGACGTTTCTGGATCGTTAACCGGGGCTCGTCGAGAAACTCTCGAGCGCGTTGCTAAAAAATTTGTATCCAAACTAGTTTCCCTCCATCCTACGGCGAGGAGGAGTAGTTTCGCCCGGTGAAAAATGTGACGCGAACGTGCTACCATCGATAAATCCCGAGGCGTCCAGCATCCCATTAGAAGCCGCAAGTTTTTTCATCATTTCCAGTTCGGTACTAAAATCGTTAAGCAATTGCGTTCAGTGGTTCCACTCGGAATCGTGCTGAATAGAGTAAGAGAAAGAGAGAGAGGAAGAAGGACTAGGGACGTTTTCCGATTCAATAATTCCGATTTCGTTGAAACTTCCGCAGAGTAAACGTGGACCGTGCACGTTCGTTGTGGCGAAGTGAAACTGCCCCTACGAACTTTGTGAAACTTTTATTTCCCTCGGATATGTCTCATTAACTGCAACGGATAGAGGAAGCTCTTCGGAATGCGACCAGGTAAATTTAACCTGCGATGGGTGACGCAGGGTTAAAATAACCTGTGCAGTTTTTATCCAGAGCTTTACCAGGAATTCTACTTTCAGTCTACCGTTGAACTGTGACTAAACAGGCTTCTTTTTTAATAGAATACCGACGGTGTTAACGTAAACAGTGTTATATATGTTATGTAGGTCGATGAATTTATCGATCGTTATTCTCATTGATCCCCAGACTTAGAATTTTATTATTGAATATGTAAGATAATTTTAGAAAAGTACACGTAAATCTGTGATAAAATAAAAAATTTATCTATGGGAGACAGCTACTTTCTCTTCTTATCAAAGATAGAATTAACCGATCTCCTCAGGTTAAATCTTAACACCGCGAGAATACCAGACTTTCATAAACACGAAAATATCCCCCGATTGAAACCTATTCATCTACCGAGGCAAATAAACGAGTCGCGTTCGAAGAAGCACGCTAGAATTAGCGTATTATTCCCGCCCGGGGTTCTCGCGCGACTAATGGCTGCCGGGTCGTTAAGTGGCGGCTGGCAAAACCGAGATCCTCGAGTTCGCTCGAGAAAACTCGCGTTTTCCGGTCTGAGCAGCGTTTTCCAGCCCCGGGGGAGGGGATTTACGAGGCTCGCTGGAAGGAAGTGGTCGCGTGTGTGCCGCTCAAAGAGCCGTCATTTCCATCTCGCGTAAATTTGCGCGCGAATTCGTGGAAAGGCGAGATTCGTGCGTGAGTTTGCGCACATTTCGTCCTCCTTCTCCCCCGTAACACACGAAAAGAGAGTGTTTGAGAGGGAAAGTGAGTGCCCGGGCAAATTAAAAGTCGACGAAGTCGTCCTCGCGTAATTGCCGGGGCGCGTCGCGACTTATTTTCGTAGACCCTCTCGTGACGACGTCGACGCCGACGAATACAGAGAAAGAAAGAGAGAGAAAGAGAGAGAGAAATCGCAACGCGGGTGGGTCCGCGCGACACCGCTTTAATAGTGGAACGCAGCGGAAGGTGGAAACACGTGTGCATGCGCCGCTAGTCCTCTTTTCTTTTTCCCTTCTCGCGCGACTCCTACGACGAACCCCTGCGACTAATTCGAGGCTTCTCGATGCCAGCCTTTCTGGAAGCTCTGTTATACCCTTCTGACGCGAAAGTTGATCGTACGAGGGAGTACGGACGGAGGAAGGGGTGATTTGAACGAGTGGTGTATTGGAAAAGGGTGAATTTAGAGTGTGTGAGGTGGTATTTGGGATTTGAAGCAGGTTGCCGGTGAAATTTATGTACTTCACGCTCATCGATCGTCAGAGGTTTACATTATGTATGGATCACTTGATTTTCTTCTAGTTTTATGCACTGGTTTATGCTAATTTCACTTACGCCACCGCTCATAAGTATTTGCACATTTACTGCTCTCTCATTATTCACAGATCTGATCAACTATTCAGAAGAATTAAAATACAAGCTAACTCCTTGACTTAACATCTCGACGAAAATCTCCTAATTCAAAATTTTTATATTCCATCTGTCTATGAAAAAAGAACGAGCGAAGGAACGAAAAGAATTCGAGTTGAAGGGTATCACAATTGTACCGTGAAATTTTCCAGTTTCAAAGCCCGAAATGCACCCCTAAAGTACTGAAGTTTATATGTACTCATCAAACCCTGCAATCAGACCAAGAATTCAATCTGCTAATTCCATTTGTACTGTATCGCGTAGTTTCAAATGTACTCCTCTTCAGGGGAGAGCCACTTTGACGACGTCGTCAAAATTCAGATTGGACCAGCATACAGAAAGGCAGAGAGAGAGAGCGACAGAGAGCGAGGGAACGGGGTAAGAGAGATGGACGCGTTGGCTGGATTTCCCTAGGACGCAAATAGCATTTCCACGGAGTACCGTGGTGGCGGTCAACCGAGTCACTTACGCTTTACAGTATCTTGCCGGAAATGCAACGAGCTCTCCCTGGTTGTACC